CGTCGTGTACAGCGAAGGAAGACACTCGCGATACTCTTGTCAGCTTGCGGCGCTGTGTCTCGGTAACTACATCTGAGCCGTTTGTCGCTCGTGGGAACGATTTTCCTCGACGAGCAGTAGACCAGCTTCCTCCGACGTCTCGGCCTGGACACTCACGAACGTCAGCCGAGGTTCGCTGCCTCGGACCCTGTGACTCGAACAGCGACTTAGCATCGAATATTTAATTCGCAGGCTGCAAGGATAGGTTAAAGCACCTCCATGCGACGATGGTCTCGTGTCCATGCATTCCTCCGTTATTTTGCTTCGGATTTTCGGGCGCGAGCAAACACAGAGGAAGCTCGTTCAGGGGTGAATAGCCGTGTACAATGTTAGCGTTCACGGGCGATTTCGCGGACAAAACGCGTGCCCGGTGGAGCGGCCATGTTCCCGAGGCATTATTCCGTGCCTGACTCGCGACAGGGATCCTCGAAAATCCGAGTCGTATCTCGCTCCCGGCTAACAGTCCAGTTTTCTTCCTGGAAACGGGTGTTTCTTATCGCGGAAGCCGATCCGGTGTCCGGATAAATGGGAAAGGGAGATGTCGTGACTGGGATATCTCTCGTAGCGTGGTATCGCGGATAGGATCGTTGCAATCATAGTCAATTACCGCCGACCTTACGCCGGCAACGATGCAACACGATACGAGTACGAAAATGCGAGGGGGAATCGCGAACCGACTCTCCGGGCGTTTCCATCGAATCGTCCGGACTGCTCGAGGCGTCGCGCGAGTTGACGAGCGTGCAGGAAAATACGCGAAAACGTCAACCGGAGCGTGTAGACGATACTCTGGATACTCACCGGTGGCTAGGTTTCCGCGGAAATTTTCCAGGATGGAATCTCGCGATGGTGGAAAAATCGGCGGGACGATAGGCGGTAGAGCGTGTCGCGATTCCGGGCGAAAGTGGAATCTCTGACGAGCATAAAGGACGAAAGGCTAAAACGGAAGCGAAAACAGGTCGGGAAACGCGGTGCGTGCGACCGGACCGAAAATCTCCGTCGTCCACGCTCGAGTTCGCAGCGCGCAGGGGTCGTTATCCGACAGGGTGCGCGAAGGAGAGCTCGGGAGAAGGTCGGTCGAGGGAGTGAGAGGGAGCGGCGTGCAAAGGAAAAGAGGGAGGTGTCGATACCGGGCGTGACCATCGGTCTACCGCCTACCGGGGCCCGATATGCGCTGCCAGGCGACGGCGTTGGCGTCCTAGGCCTCCGCCCACTGGATGCTATTTCGCCTGCCTGCTCGTTCCGTCCGCCAGCGAACGTTCGAAGCCTCTGCCGAGGCGTGGAAGAGTAGAGGGGATCGCGAACGCGACCGAATATCCAAGCGTCAGATCGCAAGGGGACGCGAGTGTGCGCGCGTCAGCTCCGTCTTCGGCAGTTCCATCGTTCCTTCACCGGTTCTCGTTTCGTTCCGTTCCGTTTCGTTTTGTTTCGTTCCGTTCCGTTCCGTTCCGTTCCGTCCCGTTCGGCCACCCTTTTCGCACGTTGCTGCGTAGTACCGTGCACGACACCGTAGCAGCAGCGGTAGACTTGGGTCGTGTGGAGAGCGGAGTGTCGGTTACGCGCGGACGATCCGCGATGCCGAAGAGAGTCGACGAGGGCAACGCGTGGCGCGTGTAAAATCGCGCGAGATCGGTATACGAGTCGCGCCACGTCTTCGTCGCGTTCGTCGCGTTCCTCGCGAACACACCCGCCGCCTGCCTCGTGTCCTGCTCCTTTTCCCTGGCCTCACCCCTCCAGGCCGGGTCGCCAGTCACCGCTCATCCCCTCTCCCCTCTCCTGCCCGTCCTTTCTTCCTTCCTTCCTCCCTCGAGTGTCAGTCCCTTTCGGTATCGCGGTGTGCGCGCATTACCACCGTACCGTACACAACACTGGGCAACGCGTAGACGCGTGCGCGATCGCTCCGAAACTTTCCGCCTTTTTTATTCTGTGCTGTGTTGTGTATCGGTCTATCGGGACCACGAAGACCACGACGACCACCGCGACTGCGATCGCCGCCACGACGAGGACCACGAAGACTACGAGAAGCACGAGGATCGCTAGAGAAGGAAACGAAGGAAGAAGAAGAAGAAGAAGAAGAAGAGGAAGAAGAGGAAGAAGAACAGTCACGACGACTGGCGATAGAAAGCTCGCGCGCGTGTCAGTCATCGGCGCGCCGCGTGTGCTTGCTCTAGCTTGGTGACAGGCCGAGTACGACGTCGATCGTGATTACCTACGTCGGAGCTGCGTGCAATCGTGGTGCGAGAGGATTAACCAGAGACATGGACACGTACTCTCGTGGTCGCGGTAACAGTGCTTGTTCGCGGTGTGGATGATACCGCTACGTCCCACGAACTCTGTTACTTCTCACCGGTAACGCGCGACGACGTCTTACCGACGGAGCCGACAGATCGCTCGTGCCTGGTCCCTGCGTCACGTGCTGCGATTCACGCGGCCGCGATAATAGGCTGGTGTATCCGGAGGAGAGAAAAGCCTGCGCGCGGTTCGTTCCGCGGCGTGAGTTGCTGCTTTTCCGGTAAACGCGGGCAAGGCCCAGGCGCGGAACACTGGACGGTGGTCGAGACGCTGGAGAACGAGCCGTCCGTTCTTCCTCGTCGTATTTTGGCAGCGTGTTCCGCTGCGGGGGTGTCTCTCGTGTCGTGGGCTACCGCAACGCGGTAAAACAGTCAAAATTCGGGTGAAGAACAGAGAACCGTTACCATCCTACGCGATGGAAATGAGCGACGAGTATCAGGACATGGGAAACCCTGGCGGAGGGGTCGCCGTGGTCAACATACCTATGGCCCATCATCAACACACGCCTGATAGCCCGTTGGTGAGTCTTTTCCTCTTTCTTCTTCGCTTCTCCTTTTTTTTTCTCTCGCCGATCGTTTTCCTCCTTTCAATTATCCACGTGATCGCGTGATTCGCCATTCCGTCTCTTTCTCGCGGTAATTTCTCGAAAATTCCATGCCTCCGTCCACCGGATTCCTGCACGAATTGTCCGGCGTCCGTCCCGTTCTGACGGACCGATCGGTCCGAAATGGAAAATTCGACGAGTCTACGCCCGAGTCGGGTGACGATAACGCGTAATTAGCGTCGGACGGGAATTGCGTCGTATTTCGCGCGGTGTTTGACGACGCCGAGCGTGTTCGATTGGCCGCTGGTCGATCGATAAAATTGGCTGACAATAGAGCGGGCCCGGGTATTTACGTATTTGCGGTATACATCACTGGAAATACACCGAGATGCTACGGCGTGCCAGAAGGGCAGCATGGTTTACAAACAATGCCAGACTGGCTGTCTTTGCGGCTTGGAACGCGTTTTTTATGTATCCCGGCTACGAGTTTTATGCACGTACGGTATCGTACCTGATATAAAAGTCACATTCGAGTTGTTTATACCGTGATCGTCCTAGAAACCCGGATGAATTTAATACGTCGTAAATACTACGCGTGCCGATTCGCCTGCATCTCGAAATCTTTTTCGAGAATCCTCCGACAAATCTCCTCGCGACCACAGACGACGTTGCCCGCTCGATTATCGACGTCGCGAGAAAATCCGCGAGAAAATCGTCGAGACGAGATTCGGCCTAAGAATAACGACATCCTTGACGGAGGATATCGAGGGACAAAAATGGCGCGAAATAAAAAGACGGGGGTCGTTTTCCCGGCAGAATTAGCCGCTGTTATTGTTGGCACCGTTTGTCCGTGGTCGTTTTAGTCTTGGAAGATAACCCTTTGACCACGGTGTACTCGAATCTCGTTTCTATTCCCGCCGTTGACGTTGATTCCCGGATCCTGTCTTTGCCATTGTAATCGCGTAATGGGTTTGGTTCACGTCGCATACTCGAATTGGTCGGACCGCGAATGCAAAACGACGAACTGTGTTTTCACCGCGCGCGATATTTCCTCGCGAGTGGTCGATTCCGAGAATAAGATGGAAGCCGGCGAAGATGACTTTGAAATCCGAAGACCGAGATTTATTGCTTTCGTGCACGGACGTCTGCGTCGTCGCCATTACAAATACCCCGTGAAGTGCAGCCGACTCCGTGTCCCATTAATGTAACCACTTACCGCGCATCCCGGCGGCTTTACGTCTGATTAATGCTGCCCAGTGACGTCATTAAAATTCGTGACCCACTGTGACGTCACTGAGTGGCCACGATCGCTGTGGTAAACGGGGAAGAAAATCTCCGACGACCCGATACTCTCGTTCCCGAGGCGGCCATTGACGTCACCGGTGAAATATCTCCGATATCGATCCTTCGAGATTCGAAATAGATATTTCGACAACGCGGCCTGAATTCGCTTCGATGAAAATCTCCGATCGCGGACGGGATAAGTTTTATCGCGTGCAATCTGCGCGCGGACAAATAGCGCCGATAAATTACGAAGCAATAGCGGGACCCTGGCTTCAAACGTTTCGCGGATCGCGATTTACGTCGATAGAATCGCGCGCTCGCGCCTCGAATCAAAATAACCATTGTCGATCTCGATCCGCTCGCGCGTGTGTTCCGATTTTTATCGCGATCCTTCCCTTCCCTTCGTCCCTTACACTTTGTTAACCTCGCGTGATACTGCTACACCGTGGTACCACGGAATAATGATAATCTCTAGCGTTTGGTACCCTGATCGACAGATTTCGCGTGCCGCCATCGCGGGATCCAGGTTCGTCTGTGATGATCTAGAAACGGCTGGATCCTCGATCTTTTCCTCGACGTGTCCGATTTAAGAATACGTCGATCGATACACTCGATGGCTCGTGCCCCCTACCACGATTCGCGAATTTTACGTAACGAAGTATGCAGCGCGTGTGTGAATGGCGAGTGCGCGCGAGGGAAAAGTCGTTCGTCGCCGGTGGAACGATAATAGCACTGTAAACAAGCGGAATAAGAACGGGTTAACGAGGGTTTCGCCCGGAAAGAAGGTCCTTGGCGTTGGACGAGTGGTGCCAGGGATGTGGCGCGAGCGACGCGTCGCGTCGTTGCGACAGGGCCCAGAGGGAGAGAGAGAGGTGTAAACACACGGTCCAGGTTGATCCAGTGCGGTCGCCGGTGTGTGCGCGCGCGAGTGCGTGTGCGTGTACGCGACGAGTATTTGCGAAGGGGTGCGCTGCGGGCAGGCGGAGGGGCCCCGGGTAATTCGCGAGCGCGCGAAAAGGGGCAAAGATGCGTGAACGGGGGAAAGGAGAGAGAGGACGATAATCGGGCGAAGATAGAGGGGCAAGGAGTCGGGGCGGGAGAGCGGGAGCTTGGGAGGGGGTCGGAAGGGGGGTTAGCTGGGTCCGACGTCGAGCAAACGGTGTGCAGAGCGCGGCACAAGGGCGGGGATTCCCCTTTCGGCCAATCGGATCGACTAGCGAGTGCGCTCGCTTACACAGCTAGCCTCGCTGTTTCACCTGCAGACGCCATGTCGTGACGTCATGTCTCGTTACGACGGGACCAGGTAAAACATGTGCGGTACCATTGTCGTGGCAGTGCTGCGAGCGCCACCCTGTAACGAGGGTACCGTTCCAAAGCTTCCTTTTCTCTTTTCCCTTCTTCTTTCTCCTCCTCTCCGATCCTCCCGCATTAATCGGAAAGGTGGTTGCAGGGAAATTTCGCGCGATGTCGCAGGAACATCGACGAAGATGGAGGGTAAAGGACACCCGCTCGATAATTTAACGCTTCGACATTCGATATGCGATACAACTTTGACAGTTGGCTAGGTGCTAGCCTCGGTTCTCTAATTAACATTCCCGCGAAGGAAGGTCCAATTACGTCGGATAGAGGATTTGATTAGGACCCGGCGTTAGCTGGAGAACGTCCTTGACAGTGCGTCAGTGTTTCTTTTTGGAGGGGTTGGTCGTGCTATTCCCCATTATCTTGGCGGAAGATTGCGGCGGAGCTAGCCTTCCCCCTCGAGGAGTTGCGAACTATTATTCGGCCGTTTTACGATAGCCCTATAAAAATCTCATAATTAGATTTTGAAGGTAATATCCTGCCGGAGCTCTCGGCCCTTAGAAGCTCGGCCCGTAGCAAGGCCAGGCCCAAAATTGCAAACACCAATCTCCCCCCACTCCCGGTGCCTTTCCCTTTTTTCTCTCTCTCTTATCTCGCAGATGCATCTACGGCACGTTATTAGACCGAGAAGAGGGACAAAAGGATCTCACCACTCGTTCCCTCTCTCTTGCTCCTCTTCGCGATACGAGATCTCCGATCTTCGCACACGCGACCGGTGTACGCTGCGCGATCGATCGCGTTTCTATCGATATCGTCGCGGTGCACGCGCCGAAAAGATACTCGCGAATTCGATAAGGTAAGGCCCAAACGGAAGGTCGTTCAACGTCGGGATCGAATTTCGCGCGCGTTTCACGCGTGCTCTCGTTTCACGTTCCGATGCAACTTTCACCGGTAAACGAACGCGCGCCGATACTCGAGGACCATCGCTTGTTCTCTCCGCTTTTCCTCGCGCGTCGTCGCGAATGGTCTGGCCCCTATCGAGGCGCCATCGCGACACGTAGCCCTGGCTTCCGCGAAACGGTGTCGCAGGGGCGGAGTAAAGGATGGGAATCGCGGTGAAAAATCGTCGGGCACGATCGACGAGTCGATTTCCATAGACCCGGCGACTTCGCCGGCCAATAGATCCGGAGGACACGATTTTATCGCGAGGCTGGCCGCGATGGCGTCAAAGCGGTTCGCGTTCATCGAGGCGCATCGTTGAGGACGCGATTCGCGGAGCGCGCATGCATTCCACGTTGCAGCTGCAATGCGCGTGATCGCGATTCAACGGGCCGTGAGCCCGTGAGCACAGAGTGTGTCCCGATGGTGGGGAATCAGTGTGGCCGCGTAGACCAAGGGGGGGAGAAAGAGTGAATGAAATAAAGAAAAAAAAAAAAGCGGAGGACCAGGCTGAATCGCGATTGGTCCAAGCTCGTGCCGCGGTCACGCCTGCCTTTATGTATGCGCCGCGTCGCGCCGGGCCGAGCCGCTCTCCGACTCCCTTCGACGCGACGCCGAGCGCGGCGACGCCACTCCGCGCGCCGATATCTCTCTCGCTTTCGATTTCGATTTTCGACGCCTCGCGTGCACCGTTTAATGGCAGACCGGTGCGTCGTGACGCTTACGCCGCCTAAGTTTTACACGTGCCTCCACCGGCCGTTACCTTCAAATTGCTCCTTGTTTCCCGCGAGGGTGAAATAATTATTTCTCCATAATATTCCTCCTTTCTGCTCTCTTTCCTTTTTTCCCTATTTTTTTCCTTCCCTTTTCTCGTTTTCGCTCTTTCTCCGTGCCTCCTTTTCCCTTTCCCTTTTATTGCCGGGGGGGACGCGTCGCGGTATTGGAAAGGCGGCGAAACGTTGGCCGGCTTAAATTTGCGTCAACGACGAGTATTTTACGTGGCCGTGTTGTTATTTGTTATTTCGCGATAACGAACGATAAATGGGCGGATAGATTAGCGGTGCAGGGTGTGCATGTATTATTCGCTGGTGCTGCGCAGTCTCGCGCGATAGATACGTATCCACGATGAGGCAATAACGTTACCGCGACGATTATTTTTCTGGTTAAAAGCGACGTGACATTGACATTGGCGGTAATGAGGATCGAAATTGCGCATAATTGATTTCCCGGGATTACCATATCGACATCTATCTATCGGTGTAACTATTATACGGCAGGTAATCGACGCGTAATTGCTACACTTTTCCCTCCACGTGGCCGCGGAAATGTGTTCGGCTAGGGAATTGCAAATAGAATTACCGCAATTGCAAATAGAATTACCGCAATTCCATGGATAGGAGGAGGGAAGCGCCGGCTAATGCGTCGAATTAGCCCGACGCGTGGATTAGAAGAGT